CCAGCCGCGCCCGGCACCGCCGCTCGCTGCCGCCGCTCAGCACATCCCCGCCGTCCCCGGCACCGCCCGGGCCCGCCATGGCGCCGGCACGGGGCGGGAGGAGCAGCGAGGGAGGAGGAACGCAGGGAGGGACCGGCACCGCCCCCAGCACCGAGCCCGCCCCGCCGCGGCTCCTCTGTCCCCGGGGTGGGGCAGCCGTGCCCGGGGCCCGGCCGGCTAGGAAAGCGCCTGGCAGCTTGGCCGTGTCCCCGCCGTGTGTGCGACAGCCGTCCCCGGCTGTGTGACCCACGTCCCACCCTCACAGTGTCCTGCTCCAGCCGTGCAGCAGCCCCTGCCAGGTGTGCCATATCCCCCCGGAGTGCTGGTGTCCCCCTTGCTGGTGTGTGACAGCCCCGCCAGCTGTGTGACCCCAGCTCCACACAGCCCCTGGCTGTGCAAACCTCTGGTCCACGGGCCTTGCAAGGACCCTTCCAGGTGTCCAACCACCCCTTCCAGGTGTCCAACAACCCCTTCCAGGTGTCCAACTACCCCTCAGAGGTGTCCAACCACCCCTTCCAGGTGTCCAACTACCCCTTCCAGGTGTCCAACCACCCCTTCCAGGCACCCACTCCCCCCACTTCTGACAGCCCCCACGTGCTCCTGGCCCTCCGTGCCATCAGGTGCCTGGGCTTGTCAGGGAATTTCCGCTGTGGAAACAGCCTCAGCGGTGTTTGAGGCTGGGAAAAGGCTCCTGGATAAATCAGGGAATGATGGTGACCGGCCAGCCCCTCTTCCCAGGAAGCCCCCATGGACAGAGACTCTCACACCTGCATCTTCAGCTCTCAGCAGGAAATGATTTTTAAAAAACTGTATAGAAATCATCACTCTCCATGATTCTTTGCTTCCAGAGCCCGCCATTGGCTCCACAATCCCACTCCCATCTCTGGAATCAGCGGAACCTCTGCTCCTCCCACACGTATCGCTTCCCTGCTGGAACCTTGCGGAAGAACAGGCTGTTCCCTCGGCTCATGTTGCCCTGGAAAGGGAAAATGACCATGGAGGGTCCACAAAAGGTCCAGGCTGGCCTCTCCAAACTCCATGGGGCTCCCACCTGGCTCCTCTCCGTGTCCTGGTGTCCCAGAGCAGTGCATCCCAGCTCCAGCACTTACCTCCCTGTGCAACTGGCTCCAGCAATCCAGCCAGGAGGAGTAGGTGGGTGCATAGGGAAGGAGACCCCCGGCCAACCTGGGGAAAGGAGGAAAGACCCACCGGGAATTATTCCCACAGGGAATTATGCCCACCCAGGAATAACCCATTCCCTCTGTAGCTCCACACTGGGTTGTGTCCCTCTCCCACTTTCAGCAAGGAGGGATCGACCCTGTGGAGCACTGGAAGCACCTTTCCACCTGGGAATTTCGGTAAGGTGGTTCCAGGAGCTGATCCGGGGCAGAGGGATGCCGGTGTCACTGGGACCAGGGACTCACCCGCAGTTGTTCACAGCCATCAGGTTGGAGACCAGGACGAAGGGGTAGGTCAGCATGCTGGCAAAGAACTGCAGGAAAAGCGGGGATCAGTGGGATGTTCCCTCTCCCCTCCACATCGGGAGCACCCCTTGGAGTTTCACCCCGGGGAGGGAGCCCACTCCTGCCACCTCCACAGCATCACACGTGTCCTCCACGGAGCATCCCTTGGTCTGTGGGCTAATCTCAGCCTGGCTCCATCCCCACCCTGGCAGCCGAAGGATTCCGGGAACACACCACTTCCTAGGGAAAGGATCCACCCCCTGCCCGTGGCTGTACTCACCCCAGTGACCGCCTGGGAGTAGCTCTTCATCTCAGTCATGGTGGAGACCTGAGGGAGGAGCAGCACACCTCAATCCCCCCAGAACGGGGTCGTGGCTCCCAGAACACCCCCGGAGCTGCCCCCGTCCGCTCCCGGCACTCCGGATCCCGGAGCGGAGCCTACCCCGTTCTCCAGCGCGTACGTGTTGATGAGGTAGGCCAGCATGTTGCACAGCCACAGGGAGAGGATGTCCCCGAGGAGCCGCGGGACGAGGCCGCTGCAAGGGAAGAAACAGCGGGAATGTTGGCCGAGGGCTCGGATCCGAGAGCTGGGAACAGCTGGTGTGGGACAGGGAGCTGGGAACAGCTGGTGTGGGACAGGGAGATGGGAACAGCCGGTGTGGGACAGGGAGATGGGGAACAGCCGGTGTGGGACAGGGAGATGGGGAGCAGCTGGTGTGGGACAGGGAGATGGGAACAGCTGGTGTGGGACAGGGAGATGGGGAACAGCCGGTGTGGGACAGGGAGATGGGGAGCAGCTGGTGTGGGACAGGGAGATGGGGAACAGCCATCCCTGGGGATGCTCGGGTGAGTGATCCAGAGCCGCTGGAGGGATTAGAGATACTCCCCAAGTGGCTTTGGGACCTCCCCACTGATGTCACCCCCCCGTGCCCCTCCCTGCCTTCCCGGCACTCACGCGAAGAATCCCAGGATTCCCTCTTCCCGGTAGATTGTGGCGAAGGCGCTTAGTGTCCCGCTGGGATAGAGAGAAGAGGAGGGACAAGGTCAGGGGGAGCCAGGATGCCGGGCCCGGCGGAGCACGCGGAGCCGTACCTGTACTTGGTCTCACGGCCGATGAACTGCACCATGCAGCGCAGGGTGATCACTGCGGGGACACGGGGTGACACCGAGGGACACGGGAGGCACCTGGCACCGCGCCCCCCGCTCCCGTGGGATGGGGACACACCTACCGTGGAAGGGGTGGGTGATGAGGGTGGCGGCAGAGCGGGCGACCATCTCCCGGGAGGTCTGGGAACAGAGGGAGCGTCAGCAGGAGGGGACAGGGATGTGGCATCCCAGTGCCTTCCTCCTCCTCCTCACCTCCTTGAGCACGTGCTCCAGTGAGGACACCGGCTCCTTCTTGCTGGCTCCAGGCTGGAGGGGGAAGGAGGAGTCAGGTGGGAGCAGCTGCCAGAGACAGGACGCTGTCCCCTGGGAGGGGCTGGATGCTCCCGGCCCACCGGAGCGCTCCGGATGCAGGGCTGGGGCTGCCCAAATCCGGGAGCCGTGGGGAGGAGGGAGAGAGGGAAGAGAGAGGGGAGGAGGAAGAAAAAACAGAAGGAAACAAAGGGGAAAAGGAGGAGGGAAGGCATGGAGAAGGGAGAACGGCCAGAATGAAGGAAAGAGGGAAGGACAGAGAGAAGAGGAGAAGGGAAAGAAAAAGAGGAGAAAAAGGAGAAAGGAATGAGGGAAAGAAGAAAAGAAAGAAAGGAGAAGGGAGGAATAGAAGAACACAGAAATAGAAAGAGGGAGGAAGGGAAGGGAAGGGAAGGGAAGGGAAGGACGTCTGCACCCACCTCAGCCTGCTCGGCTTCCTGGTACCGCTGTGGAGCAAAGGGCAGGGTCAGCGCAGGGTCAGCACCGCGCGGGGAGCCAGGGGGCCCCGGTGTGCCCCCGTCCCGGCGGCGGAACCCCCGGTTCCCGCAGCGCCCCGGGCCCGGCGCCCCGCCCGTGCCGGTACCTGCAGCACTTTGCTGTGCACCACGGTGCCGATGGCGCTGGAGCAGAGGCGGGGGGCGAGGCCTTTAAAGAGTCCTGCTCTCCCGTCCACCTTTACGATGTGCTTGGCTGGGGACAGCGGGGACCGTCAGCCCCGGGGGGACCCCACGGCGGCACCGGGACGGCGCCGGGGCGGCCCCACCAGGGCGGACTCACCGTAAGAGAAGAGGCCGGGCAGCTGGTATACCTGGCGGCCGAAGATGTTCCTCCCCAGGGTGGGCGGCAGCGGCTCGTAGCCCACCTGCAGCGGGAACGGGCAGGCTGTATCCCCCGCGCGGCCGACACCGGGCCCGGTACCCCCTCTCAACCCCGCCCTTACCTGCACCAGCACCTTCACGTACATGAGCGGCTGCGAGAGCACGGTGAGCCCCGAGCCCAGCAGCACCTGCGAAGCCGCGTCCGCCATGGTGCCGCCCCGGCGTCACGGCACAGAAGGACACGGCCACGGCTGCCGCCGCTTCCGCTTCCTCCTCCCCGGTAGTTCCGGCGCCGCCGTGACGCGCTTCCGGCCGCTGGGGGGCGCTCTGGGAGCGCCGCGGCTGCCATGGAAACACCCGACGGCGCCGCGGGGGTGTTGCCATGGCAACGGGGCCTGCGGGACTGGGGGCACCGACGGAGCCTGTGGGGACACCGGGGAGACAGGGCTGAGGGGTCACCTGGGTGGTGGAGCTAGCGACACCACATCCCTAGAGCCCAAGGTGACACCATGGTGGTAGGGCTGAGGTGACACGCTGGTGGGAGGGCCTAGGCTGACACCATGGTGGCTCGGGGTTGGGTGCTAGCAAGACTCCGCCGGGCTCGGGGACAGGAGGACCCCTGAGGGGACACGACAATGCGAACGGGCAGCACCAGGCACAGACACGGAGGTGGCGGCACCTTTACTGCCGAGCACAGGCGCAGCAGCGTGGGGCCGCAGCACGGACAGTGAGGGGACGTGCCCTGTCCCTGGGCCTGCGCCCGCCCCGCTGCCAGGATGGCCCCAAGATTGCTCCCACAGCTGGATCCCGGGAAGAGTCACTGGTGGCAGCACAGTGGCAGGGGCTCAGTGGTGGCTTGCGACACGTCACAGCGCTTGTGCCACTGTCCGGCTGATGCTCTCCCATGGTGGCACAGCAGCCATTCCCTGCTTCAGGCGCCCTGGGAAGGGCCACTCCAGAGTCAGCTCCAGGCACCTCTCCCACGATGGCACGGGGGCCATTCCCTGCTCCAGCTGCCCTGGAGCTGGCTCTGGGCTTCTCTCCCGCACTGCCACCTCCACTCTGGACACCAGGAAGAACTGGATGCCTGCGGGTCCCAGCCTGGGGGGCACAGGAGAGGTGTCAGACCCACCTGAGGGGTGGGACAGCACTGGGGACAAGTGTCCCCGCAGGACTGTCTCCTCGGGGCCGGGATGGACTGTGGTGGCTCCAGACTCACCGGGATGCTGGTGTGGCTCCGGTTT